AGGTTATTGCTGGAGCGTGGGGGGACATACAAGACTTTCTTCAGCCTACGAGGTGGCAGGGTCAGACACTGTTTCCTGCTCCCCCAGATTTAATTTTCCTTTGAATAATTTTATCCTATTGCTACACCGTAAACAATCCTCTCTTGGTAATTACAGCTTGAGGGTCAGATCTTCATCTGGTGCAAACCAGTGCAGCTCAGTGGTACTACCCGGGTTTGGAGCAGGTGAGGACCCGCTGTCAGCCGTGGGCCTCCTCAGTGTGATGAGCTCACTCGCGTGAACTTAAGTCCCAGGGTGACTCAAGAACAATAATAAGTAATTTCGTATCTTGGTGAGGTTTGGTCTAGAAAAACAATACAGGGCTCAGATTCCTCATCAACACTCCCTTGAGTCTTTTGTGGTTGAGAAATCAGGTGGAAGCGCAGTAGCAAGAGGCCCAGGTGACTTCTCTGGCTCCCTGCACTAAGATAGCCAGAGATAACTGGGGCAGCTCTGTCACAAGGCTTTTTGTGACACCCCCCCCTTGGGAATCCGCGCTGGCTCCCCGGGAGCACCCAGGCTTGGGGACCTGGGCCCCGTGTCTGCAGGCAGCCCCAGTGCTGCCCCTCGCCGGTGCCGGGAGGTGGGGTGGGTGGCCAGGAGGGTCACGATTCCCTGGGAAGCCCCTGGAACAGCGTCAGGCCCCGTGTCTGAGCTGGCTGCGGTGCCCTTCCGCGGCCGGGCCGTATCTGTTGGTGAAGTGGTTTATGTGCTGCTGGAAGGCTGCGCGGGGTCGAGCCCGGGGACAGAGCTGACCCCAGCACAGACTGGCCGCGGGGACAGAGCTGACCCCAGCACAGACTGGCCGCGGGGACAGAGCTGACCCCAGCACAGACTGGATGCGGGGACAGAGCTGACCCTAGCACAGACTGGCCGCGGGGACAGAGCTGACCCTAGCACAGACTGGACACGGGGACAGAGCTCCCACCTCCGCCTCTGTAGTCGGGGCACGCTGGGCCAGGGCTGTGGCCAGAGGCATCCCCCAGAGGGATCCAGGGCCTCGTGTTTGTGCTTGTTACACAGTTGGATTTGTTCAATGCTCAGCCTTTTCTTTTTCTTGTTTTTAATCTTGGCTTGTGAAGCGTTGCACAATTAATGCTATTGCCCCATTAATGACCCCAGCAGGAACCTGGAGGGGATGTGCTTTCTGCAAGAGAAAGATAATTTGTTCCCTTTGTTTCCTCCAAACGGTTACAAATTTCACATCTGATTTATGGGAACGCAGTGGGGTGATGCAAAGCTGCCCCGTTACTTTCATCACGGTAACGCGGGGCGCTCGCCTGGCACAGAACTGCAGCCTCAGGTTTAAATCAGCTGTTGAAATGTTTCCTTCTCCCCGCGTCTCCACATAATCCATTCCAGGTCAGCGCAGCTGGGAGCTGCAGCAGGGTTTTGGAGATGTGCCCTTGAGCACTGGGAGGAATTTGCCACCGGCTGGCCCAGCTGGCTGCGTACCCTCAGCCCCCTCCCAGAAAGGGCTCCCGGGCAATGCTCAGGGCTCCTCTGCGTGGCAGGTTGGGCTGGATGAGGGAAAGGCTTCCATCTGCTCCCCAGGGAGTCTCAAGCTTGTTCAGAATAACGCACCCCTAAAAGCACCCGGGCAAGAAGTGAGGAGTGAGCAGTTCTCTAAATTCACACCCTGCTGTAATCCAGATTAATTTGCCTGTGTAGCAAACACTGGGCCTAGGCATGTCGAGGGTAGAATTGCGAAAAGCTCTGCAGGTTGTTTGGGGTTTTGGTTTTTTTTTTTGGTGTTGTATCGTGGCTTTAATTTGAGGGGCTGAGCCCCTAAAATTGGGCTATGGGGATGCTGCAGGTGCCTTCCTGTGCCGGCCCGGGGCTGGGATCCCAGAGCAGCCCAGCCTGGCTGGCAGCGAGGAGCGTGGCTGCGGTAACGCGACGCCGATCCAACACAGTGACTCCGAACGGGAATTTTGTGTGGAGACGTTTCAGAGAGGGCCACGAGGCTTTGTCAGTGATGTTATTTCCAGTTCATGATGGGGGACCCTGAGCGTGCGGGAGTGTCCAGCCCTCCCCACTAAGCTGCTCCACAAACCTTTCCCTGTCTGCGTGTGACCCAGCCCTTCTCCCTCCCCTGCAGGATCCTGGTGAACATGGACAACAACATCATCCAGCACTACAGCAACCACATGGCCTTTCTCCTGGACATGGTGGAAGCCGAGGACAAGTTCCAGATCATCCTCAAGGAGCTATAAAGAGCCACAGGCAGCACTTACTGGGACTTCTCTCCAAGCCGGCAAGTTTGACCCAACAGAGCTCAGCCTAGTGCCTCAACTTGTTGCCTTTACTTGAATATTGCCTCTGGGGAGGACCTCGGCCTCGCGGGGCCGGGCCAGAGACTGCTTGGAAGATCTGTTATCGATGTGAACATGGAACTTCTCTCTGAGTTTATTATTATTATTATTTTTAATTTTATTTTATTCCCTTCTGGCGATGGGCCTGACCTCCTGTTTCACAGCCGGGACCGTGCAGTTACACCAACACGGCTGTCGGAGCTGGGGCAGGGCAGGGGGCTGCCTCTGCTCTGTTTGCCTTGGCCCGTGACTGATCCAGCCCTCGGCTTTGGCTTTCTCCCAAACCACCGGTCATGCAGAACCTTCAAACCATTTCCAGCAGGGCTGAGCCCAGCTCTGAGCTTCTCTCTGGCCACAGAGACTTTCACAGATGCATTTAAAACTCACTGTCGAACGGACACTGCCTGCTCCCACCCCCCAACCCTGCCGTATCTCTGAGTGTAAATACCACGAAGGCCTCCATAGCCCTTGTTTATACATTTCTGATGTATTGTTCCTTTTATATTTTATATATGTATAAATATGCATTGTTTTATATTTGACTCAGTACGGTGACACAGAGCATTTCAAACACAGGCTGCTTCACATTTCTCCGTGAACTCCTTTTGTAACTGTGTTGTTGGTTTTGTTGTTTTGGATATTCCGTAGTAATAAAGGTTCAAAGATGGGAAACGAACTGTTTTCACCCAGCTCCGGAGGTTGGAGTTGGGAAGGGCCGGGCAGGCGCCAGGGCAGGGAGGTGACCGGGAGGGCTCCAGGCTGGGTTTGCACCACAGACCCTTCCGCAGCACGAGGCCTTCGTGGGTCCGAGCTGGGTCCTGGTGAAGGGGTGTGAGCTCCTGCCTGCAGCTCCTGCCTGCAGCTCCTGCCTCCCCACGCAGGCAGCACACGCCTGGGTTCCTCCTCTGCCTCCCCCCCCAAAGGTGGGTGGGGGTTGCTGAGCATCCAGGCGCATCCCTTCGATGGAGGGATGACGTTACACAGATCTGGAGAAATTTTAAGCAAGTCAAAAAGAAATGCTCTGGTTTACTTCTGCTCCCAGGAGGAGCCGCTCAGCCTCCATCTTTTGGGGAGGTGCGTACCTGCTTCCAGGTGCTGCGCTGCCTGTTTGAACCCCTCACACCTGCTCTCTCTGGGGCATTAGTCCTTCACCCCTGGGCTAAAATTGCTTGCAGCTGCTTCCCATTTAGGTCAAAAAAAATACCAAGGGGAGTCCTGTATTTTCTAATTAATCCTCTGACCAGTGAAAAGCAGGCATTTTCCTCTTTCCTCATCATCATCCTCTGCTGTTCTTGTCTGTATCGGCGAGATACACCTGGACCCCGTGACTGGGGAAGAGAGAGCAGCTCTACCCCCCCTGGGAAGGGGGTTTTGAAATGTGGAAACGCATTAGGCAAGTGAATTTTGGATTACTTAAGTGTTGTTATCACCATGAGGAGGGCCTCTAAGATGAGGCTCAGATAAGTTTGAAGGCTTATCAACCTTTGAAGATCTCTCCCAGCACTCTGCACTCCTTCATCTGCACATCATAAACTCCTTCTTCAGCTGGATGTCTCTGAGTCTTGGATCTGTGAAGCCATGCCCACAGCCTTGCTATCACGGAATTTCAGCTCCAATTAAAAACGGGCACAACCAGGACTCCCCCAGCCTGTAGCATCGATGGGTGTAAAACCTACAGGTCCCCTGGTCGCCCTGAGGTGTCAGGTGGGGGCTCCGCTCATCTCGGGGAGCGCAGGGCTCCCCGCCAGCGCTGCCTCCGCCCGGGGAGGGTGAACCCTGATGGCATGGGCAGGCGCTTGCGGCTCGTGTAAGAGCAGAGGATGTGGGAGAGGGAGCACCCAGGACCCTGAGAGACGGGGGGAGGTGGTTCGGGGACACCCCGTGTCCTCTGCTCTGTCAGAGGGGCCTGAATACGAGGAATCGGTGCTGGGAGCTGGTGGAGGGAGCTGGGAGCAGCCTGAGCGCTCGCTTCGGGTTTCCGCACTGCGACGAGGCTCTGCCCGGGGAGCTGCTGGGGAGGGGCCCTGGGGAACCCCTGGTAGCCGGGCAGGACGGCTCGGGGGGCTGCAGGCAACTGCAGGGGGTCTGTGCACGCAACATCATGGGCTCTTGGTGACCTCTCATCCCTCAGTTAGTTGCTCTCAGATTTTGGGGCTAACTTCCTACCAGTGTAAACACGGCGCTGATTCTCGGTCACACGAGTAGAGCTACTCCTGATTTACAACATCAAAAATCATCTCGCGTTGTAACTTTGGGTTCCCAGCAGAACAATGACAGATTTTGCTGGATTTGACAGCAGCTACCAGCTCGTCCAAAGTTTCACCAGGTGAGAACTGCCCTGGCTGGCGTGTCAGCACGGCGCGAATGGCTTCCCTAACCCAGACCCTTTCTGTTCGCAGGCTGCAGGCGGAGAACCAGCTGCTCCTTCTGCTCAGGTTCTGTGTAATCTTGACTTTGTCAGGTTTTAAATCACGGTAACTCCGCTGCATGCGGGGAAGCGCCGGTTGATTCACGCCAGCGTAAGAGCAGACAGTCACCACCCCCTGCCACCCTGCCGAGGGTGGGTGTTTTGCTGACTGGCTCAGTATCGTTCATCCCTTCCAGCAAAGGCGAGTTGCTGTAGAGGTTGCGTAAAGCGGAGCTCCCAAATATGTGAAAGCATTCTTGACTCTTTGCCCAGAGCCCACCAGTTCCTTTTGAAGATTAAGATACGAGCGATGAAGGCGATTCACCTCTGAGCGAACAAAGGTCGTGTGAAAGTATGAACCTGCCTGTGTTTTGCAAAGGGCTCGAGCTGACAGACAGCAGCTTCCTCGGGAGCGGCGGCCGCTCTGGACGGTCGGTGACTGGTTTGTGCTGACTCGAGCCGAGTCCGTCGGCGTGTGAGGTGTGAGCGGGCGGGCGGAGGGCGGCCGGGCACACGCTCGTGCCTCGGGGGGCGGCCCCGTGGCCTGCGAACGCCAGCGCCAGCCCTCGGAGCGGCAGAGCTGCGGCGTTTGCCCGCGCTGCCCTTCTCCAGCATTTCTACCCAGGCCAGGAAGGGCTCCCCGCCAGGGTCACCTCTCCTTGGGTCAGGCTCCAGCACGTTTGCTCTTTAGTTTATCAGATGAAAGCACCAAGAGGAGGTTGGGGGTTTTTTTTGCAATACTTATTAATTGTAGTAATTATTCAACATCTACAAAACCGGAAGCTTTCAAATCAGCTTTAGCTAAGGATCTCCTCCCGAATCAGAGTACCAAGGACCACTAATGAGTACCATTATCATTATCAGGCAGCCAGCAGAGGACAGGAGCGTTTACTGAGCTTCACAGAGCTCCAGGGAGGTCCTGTCTGAGGATCCCTGCTCCAGTGCCCCGGTGCTGCTGCTCCCAGCGCCGGGAGCCGCTTCCTGCTGCAGATGAAGGGACATTTCCCCGAGTGCTCGCGGTGAATAAGCGCCCACAATGACAGAGATGCACCAAAAAGAGAAACCTAACAGCATGTGAGCTGAGTTGTGCAAGAGCTCTGGTATCCCCAGCGCTGGGTGGAGGGCTCTGCTCTTCACTTCTACAAATAACACCCAGTTTCTGTGTCTTTGTTCATGCTTATTCATTCCTTGCATCATCAACCAAGGAGCTGAGGCTCTCGCTGTGTGGTGTGGTTCTCCATCGCTATAAAGGGCAAAACAGCATCCTGTGTTTTGTTAGGACACCCACACGTCGTGTTTGCAGATGCCCTGGCGCCGTGTTGGGTATCGGAGAGGATCAAAGACAGAGGAAAATGAAATTCTGTCTGCGTCCGTTTCACAGTGTGGAAAGCTGTAATGAAGCCAGTTTGGGTCCCCTCTGCTCCCTCTCACCCCTCTCCTCGGGTAGGTCCTTGGGTTTGTGTCACTGTGGATCGGTGTGGTGGGTATTAAAACCTCAGCCTGTGTGAATGTCCTGGTACCTTCAGCTGGGAAGTGTCCTTGGGTGTAGTATTAGAGTTTAGTGTAACGTTTGGCGTGCGCAGACTTCGGTTTAGCTTCAGCATGACAAGAGTTGTCTCGATTGTACATTTCTGTGAGTCCTGTGCAAGGGACAACCCCGAGCTCCTGGGGACACCGAGACCCCGGCTCCAAAGAGCCCAGGCATCCACTCCTGAATCACCAGCCTTTAATAAAGCTGCTGCTTTGTGCCACCCACTGCCTGGTTTAACTGCGAGGTATTTTGCCTCCCTCTAGTTCTGCTCGTTGTGGTGTAGCACAGAATAGTTCTGCACATATTGAGTGTTTCTGGGGAGAAGGGCTGGAGTCACCTCCAGTCCCAGGACTGGCAGTTTTCATCTGATGGGATTTCCTTCCCCTCTTTTCAGGCTGGAGTGGAAAGGCGATGTGGGGGGTTTTCTAGCAATGGGGCAAAGACTCCATGGATGTGCGGTGATGGTGCCCCCTTGTCCTTTTTGTGCACTGCATTGCACAGGTTTCTAATCAAACTGGCATAAAAGATTGATGAAAATGAAAGAGGGCATTTCTCCACCATCTGCAGAAGATGTTTTTAGCCCACCTTCTTTAATTCATTTGGGTAACCAACCTTAACAACTGTGGGCCAGATCTCCAGCATGAACAAACTGGCCTAGCCCTGTTCCTTTAACTGGAACGGACCGATTTACGCTGCCGGGGGATCCCATTCCAGCTGAGTCAGCACAGCAGCTCCCGGGAGCTGGCATGTCGACACCGTACGTGGCAAGTCTGGGACATGATCTGGACAGGGCTCCAGAAAAGCCCATCACCCCCTGTGCTGCTGCAAGGGCTCCGGAGAGACTCATGGCACCAGCACCTTCTCTCGCCATCGGTGGCTGGGACGAAATCTGCCGCTGGGTGAGTTCAAACTGCTAGAAATAATCGCAGTATTGCTGTTGTCTGCTTTTGCAGCCCTTCAGTAACCTCCCAGAAGGACTTAATCTTAGAAGAAATAAAGAGGGTGAGAAATATGACTCTGACTAACTGAAAAAAAATAATGTTACTTGCGCCTGGCAACAATTAGCCAACGGGCACTGAGGACACGATCCGCCCAGGCGGAGCTGAGCTCTGCCTCCACCCCGCGAGGGGCTCTGGATCCACGCCGGGAAGAGCTGCTGGACACAAGGAGCCCGCAGCAGGGTCTGTCCCTGTGTCTGCCCCTCTCTTATCAACGCTAAGGCCAGGGTCAAAATTCGGCCCCGTTCCCTGCGGGGGTTGGCCCTTGGCCCCCGAGGAACAGCTCCAGCTGTGGCCAGGAGTCAGGCAGCTGCCCCGGGGCCCACCTGCAGGGACCGGTGGCATGTCACCCTCACTGAGGGCAGGTCCCTCCTCCTGTTTCCCCCGGGCGTTTCCCAACTACAAGCTGCAGGAGGTGTTTCTTTTCGAGTTTTACTCATCTTTAGGTCAGGAAAGCTCTGGTGAAGCCCAGGGAGGGCAGGAGAGCCAGAGGGGTGTAAACCCAAGGAGACTGTGCTGAGGTGCTCTGTGATGCCACTCCCCAGCCGGGGCACGGAGGCTTTTCCTACCATAAGGGGTGATTCCCCCCACGCCCTCTCCCTGCAAGTGCTCCTCTCTTCCAAGCAAATAGAAAAATATCACAGGTGAAACGTCGGTTGTACCAACAGCCCGAATGATATGATAGTTTTACACACGCACCAGAACTCACAGAACCTGTTTGTCAAATGCACTGACAGTCCATGATGCTTTAATGGCCTTTACATTGCAAACATGGGTTGTTGGTTTTTTTTTCAATCTTGCTGTCAAAAATAATATTGTAAAATACAGACCAGCAAGTTAGACAAAGAGCTGGTGGCCCGGATTTTAGTGCTGCTGCTGCCATGTTGCTTCTGTGGGGCCCTTTGGATGACATCAGACCATCTAAAGGTGTCAAGGGAACGCTGTGCTCCGATCTTACAGGGATTTAGACACTTACTGTCCCCTGTTCACAAAAGGAACTACACGGCCTGTGCTGCCAAGTTCGGTGCCTTTCAGAAATGGTGTGTGTTTTCAGGTGTCCATGTGCCTTTGTGGGTGAGCTCTGCTAATTTCTGTGCTTCGTTTTTTTTACCCTGTTGTGCAGGCAATAGCGCTGTTTAGTCACACTGGTGTTTTCTGTGAGAGTGAGAATTACTTCAGAACAATTCTTATTTTTACCTGGCCCAGGGAACCCTTCCTGTCCATCGCCCTGTGTTTGAGAGAAACGCAGCACAGGAGCAGTTCTGCTCTGGAGACACTTTGTCATCCACAAGGTCCCACTGTGGGACCTTCCCCCAGGCGAAGGAGGATCTTTACAAACAGGTGGGATTGCTGGAGCAGAGGGACTCAAGCAGAATTTCTACCTATGAGGAGAAAAAGAAATTTGAGGAACTTGTCCCACCCTAATGGGGTTTTATGTCTGGAAAAAAAAAAAAAGCTGTAGTTTCTGTTAAGTGCCTTGAGGAGGGGGATGCTTTTAGGCCAAAGTTTTTGGGAAATGATCTGGGGAAAAAAGGGCCCAATTGCAACGCCATAGACAGCCTGCTTTGATTACTGTAAAATAGAAAGACTTGCCAGTGGTCCAGCCTCTGCAGAGACCTGGCTGCTCAGCTGCTCCAGAGCAAGATAGCGCTGAGACCAAGACAGTGATGCCAAATGACTCCAGCTGGGAGTTCCTCCCATCCTCTCCCACCTACTGAAACAGGAGAGGGAGCAGGCTCTAACCCCAGCGGTTGGGCGTGGAGTGTTTTTGTGTTTTGTGATAACACAGACTGGCGACCTTCTCTCCTCCTATTTAATTCGCCCTTTCCTCTAGCCCTCTGTCCTTATCAAATGCCACTTGGCATTGCTTCCCTCCCTGCCTACAGCTTCCCACTCTTTTTTACAAAACCCCTGTTACAAGATAGAACTGTTGAGAGATGTAGTAAAGATACATCTGTTGGGTAAGGAGAGCCGTGGGCTTTCTCATGTTCTCATTCTTTTCCATGGTCAGGAATTTATTGTTGATCTTAATCTTAGGCCAGGCAATGTCACTGCATGGTGACAATAAATTTACTTGAACAATTTACTGATAGACAGATTTATTTGTTTTATAAGGATACCAAGGGGGAGGAGGGCTTGGGAGAAGGGAGTTTCCTTTCATGCCTTTTAGTCTCTTTGAACCAAGTGGTAGGATGGAGTACAAGGGAATGGTGGCTCTCGCTTGAAGGAATTACTTGAGACTTTTACAGGCCTCTCTCCAGCTCTAATTCCCAGCTTTAGCAGGGGCTGAGGAAATGCCCATGTTTTACCCATCAGGCTCCTTGAGATGATGTACAGCCACGAGCAGGGCCAGAGGAGGCCATGAGGATGGTTGGGGGGTTGGAGCACCCCCTGTGAGGACAGGCTGAGAGAGTTGGGGGGTTCAGCTGGAGAAGAGAAGCTCAGGGGAGACCTTAGAGGGGCCTCCCAGGGCTGAAAGGGGCTGCAGGAACGGGGGGTGGGACTCTTGATCAGAGGGGGTAGGGATAGGACTAGGGGTGATGGTTTTAACCTGACAGAGGTCAGATTTAGATTAGATCTAGGGAAGAAATTCTTCCCTGTGGGGTGGTGAGGCCCTGGCACAGGCTGCCCGGAGACGCTGTGGCTGCCCCCTCCCTGGAAGGGTTCAAGGCCAGGTTGGATGGGGCTTTGGGCAACCTGGGCTAGTGGGAGGTGTCCCTGCCCAGGGCAGGGGGAGTTGGACTAGGCCATCTTTAAGGTTCCTTCCAACTAAACCACCCTGTGATTCTGTGATCCCTTCCCATTCCTGCCCTGTGGTTCCCAGATTTGACTCTTTATGCCCAGTGTGTTCCTCTGGGGGTGAGTTTAGGCACTGGCAACACAAAAGGAACACAGCCTAACGCTTAAAACCTCTGCCTGGGATTTGAAGGATTTATTTTCCAGGTCATGTGTGCTCTGGCTTCTTGCTCTGTACAATGGGGATAAGAAATTACCCCTACATCATAAGGGTGGTGCAGTATTTAATTACTGTTTGTAAATGTCTGAGAGATCATCTGATAAAGGTACCTCTGATACACTGCTGCAGGGTGTTATCAACCCACACTCCCCTTCAAGGCAGCACACTGTAACACTTCCACCTCTGGGCCAGTTCCTCTAAACCTGTGGCAATAACTGGCCCCATTGGACCAGGTGGTAGATCACTGTCTGACATATTGTCATTTGTCCCATCAAAGTGTCATGTTTTCCAGGCTGGACTTACCTGAAAGGAGTTTTCTTTGCTTCCTTGGTAGGTTTATGTGGCTGGTAGGTTGCAGGCTCTGGAATAAATCTGTACATCCTTGTTAGGCAGGAGGTCTTTGACTGGAAGGAAGATGTTATACCCTTGGGAGACACCTTGAGGAGGGAATCGTTGATGTTGTAGTGACCTACAAGACAAACAGGAAAGGGATGTAAATACCAAACAAGGCTGCAACAGTGACTCTGAGGAAGGAGAGTGCATCAGTCAGTGAATGTAATACAAGGAAAAAGAACCGGTATGACAGGACTGTGTGGGGAAATCGCTTCTGGATTTAAAAAGTGCTGTCCTGGGCAGAGCTTATTTCGAGGGACACTGATAAGGCAATACTAACCTTCATCCTGAGCACAGGAACGGAGATGTTAGCCATCTTAAAGAACCAAACAAACAGGAGGAGAACTCACACATGGTATAACTTGTAAAATAAGGTACAAAGCTACGTGCCCTCGCACTCCAGGTCTCGAAGCTCACCAGGCAATGGGCCAGGAGTAGACTTCTTTTGCAGCTGGAGTACTGTGGAGCTTGGTACATTATGCACTAATGTGGCTTCTCCTGAAGCCTCCGGCATCTCCACCGAGTTGTTGGGGTGTTCTAGTGATTCCTTACGGCTACTCAGAACTGTTGGGATGGTTTCTGGGTGGTTGTCTCAGCAGACGTTCAAAGGGACTTACTCTTGGAAGGGAGGCTCACTGGTGTCCTGCCTTAAGAAGCTCTGAGTGACCTGAATTTGTGTGTGACGGTGATCTGCACCCTGGAGGATCAGAACCAAAATCACCAGCAACATCTTTCCTTCCAGCTCAAGGCTCATGTACATGGAAAAGGCCATTTTCCAAATTTTTCCAAATTTAATCCTTTTGTGGTTTTGGACATAAACACTGTCTGGCCAGAAATGTTGTTGCTCTGCTTGCAGAAATCCATTAGAGGTCTGTTTCAGAAAAGGAAAAAGGGCTTGTGGATGCCTTTGAATTGACTTTACCTGTGGGTAATTACCAACAAAGGAAAACCCACATTTAAAATCCAGTTGTCTCCAGTGTGAGTGATTCTAATGATACAGCTGTAGGCAGTATTAGCCCCAAAATCCGTGAGTGCTCACCAGTTGTCGGTAGGTCTCTTTGTGACTGCCCAGCATGTAGAGGTTGCATTTCCACAGACGCTGAGGACCTGAAACTCTTGCAGAAAATGTGGGTTTGTGTGTTTAACTGCCGTCTCCAGACTCCTCTGATGTCAGCTCTTAAGTGTCTGGTTTTGTTTAAGTCACCAACTGAGCACAGAATTTGAGGTGGTGCTGCCAAGACGCATCCGGAAGGCACTACGGAGAAAAGATGTCCCGGTGGCTGTCGCTGCTGGGACTGCGGGGTGGGCTGATGTCTTTGAGCTAAGGATGACTTGAAGAATCTGTATTTCGGTTCGTTCAAGCCTGCAGGTAAGTGCTGGAGTGTTTGTGCCCTCCTGCAGCTTGCACCAAAGCTCAGTGCAGCACTGTTTTTACGCTGCCAGCGGTCCCCGAGCTAATTAACTTGGACAGAGGTGCCAGAAGTCCCTGGGGGAGAAGGTCACACTGCTCCTCTGGAGCACTCAGCTACCTGCTGCAGTCACTGCCCTGAAAACGTACATAGAAACACAGTTCATCCACAGCTCCTAAGCTTCACACTCAGAGTGAGAATTGCTCTCCTTACAGTCAAAAAAACGATGGGGTCAAAGGTTGTACGAGGTACCCAGAATCACGAATAGATCACTGGTGAAGTGGGACAAAGGAAAGATTCTTCAGATTCCCAGCATGAAGCCTTAACTCCTTGAACATGCTCTGAGATTTAAAGCCTTTTACTGTTGGCTGATGGATTATTTGACTTTTTTCTAATTGGGCTATAGAGAAAACATCTAATGGTCAAGGCTAATTCAATGATTTAAGTGGAACAGTCCAGTTCAAGCACAAGAATGGGGAGGTAGCAAGAAGACACCTGCATTAAAAATTCGAACACAAAAAGACTGATGCTTTTTCCCTGGTTTTTGTTTGTTTGTTTGTTTGTTTGTTTGTTTTTTTCCCCTTGTGTTTCCTATAGTAAGCTGGTGAAATGCCTACAAGAGTCATGATGTTTAACTGGCTTTATATTAATACAGGGTTTGGTCCTAGAGCTGAAGATGGCTTTGAGGACAGCTCGGGACACTGATTTCTTGTTTCTCACTCATTTTTTTTTCTCCAATATTTATCAACTTTCCGTTGTCACAGCCTCAGAAGCAGATCCTTCAGCTACTAGACAAAAGTTCCTTTTTGCCAGAGAGCAGTGACCATGTAAAGACTGCAGGATCTCTCTGCCTTTTTCTTCTAGATGTCTCTTTGTCTATAGTCATAAATTATCAAACACTGCCATCTTTTAAATAGATAGTTTCCTGTTCTGCTTCTTGTAGGTTAGATATTATCTCCTACAGTAAATCATGAGTCAGTGATTAATTCAAGAAGGCCGTTCCCAGAAGCAAATTCTTACAATGTTAAAAATAATATGATGCGAATCCATTATAGTATGATATAGAAAATAATTATGGCCTGCAAACAAGTTTAATCAACTTAGAACATGCTGGGGCAGATACTCAGTTGGAGTGAGTCATTGTAAGAGAGTTCACAGTCTTAGTGTATGGGTTGTGTGAGCAAACATGATTGCCCCATGTCAGCCGAGTCTCAGTAACTCTGTATGTGTGCTCTTTGCACACCCAAACTGTGAGGTAAGACATGTTTGTTTAAAACACCTTTGCTGAGGTTTAAACTGTATCAAATTACTCTAAAAGCATGAATTGCTTCAAGAACACGCATGCATCCAGTTAAGATGTCTCAGCTGATGAGTGGCAGCTTATTAAGCTCATTAAATTGTGTCGTCTTCGTTCTATCTTAAACAGCTATGCAAAGTCATCAAATATTCCAGCGAGTCAACGTGCCCTGCCTCACCGCACGGTGGATGTATCCTGCATTAAAGTGCAGTTTGAAAGGGGACAGCTCACCAGGAACTGGCTGCAATGCAGACCTGCTGTGCAGAAAAAGACAAAAACTCTCTCTAAAGAATAACAAACCAATCCAAAAGTAATCACAGCTACAGCAAGACACCATTGAAAGGACAGAAAACTCCATTAGCAGTGCGTATGTTATTATAAATTATCTGATAATTGTTAATAACACTTTGTGTTTTGTTAATATCTTCCATCTCTCAAAACATTTAAATTCCCGTGGACTAAAGCTTACAACACGCCAGCGAAGCCTGGTCACCGTGGCATGGGTGGGGAGCATCAGGCACAGAACAGTTAAGTGACTTACACAAGGGTGAATCAGCAGGAGGTTGAGGAACTGAACCTGAAGGCTAGGTCCTCAGCTGATACAAACTGGCACAGCTCCACGGCAAGTGGAAGGGCACAGGCAATTACATCACTTGTACGTACGCAGAGCTGATCCCCAGCTCTGAGGCTGAACCTCAAAACCCAGCACCTGTTAAAGACGTAACATTCACCTGCCTTGAGCTTTTTGGCAGAAGCTCCCTATAACCAACCAACGCAGGTTGGATTTCTGGGATCAAACTCATGCTACTGGGTCTTTCAGTACCAAAGCCAGTGATGTGGCAAGGACAGGGGTTGCTGCTGTCCCAGGGTCAGGGGTGTGTTGTTCTTCCCAAGGTATTGTGGAGTTTCTGCCCAATGTGTGCTCAAGGTCCACGACAGCTTGGGGTTCCTCTGTGACACGGTCGGAGCCGGGCAGCAGATCATGTGGAAATTCTTTTAGATATTGCTACCAAACTGCCCACGGCGGCACAGACCTCTAGTTCCAGTGTTTTCTGGAATATCAAACATCTCTTCATAAACATTATACCTTAGCTGTGACACACCCCCCCCCGATCCTTGTCCTCCTCTGCAAATCTACTTACACAGTATTGATCGGGTGCTGGAGTGGGGATTCCCTCAGTCTTCCCAGCAATGGGTTGTTGGGACATGCTAGAGATTCCCTTGCTAAAATCTTGTTTGGGCTGAAAACATACATATCTAAACAGCTTTAAAACCTTGCTTACAATTGGCCTTCATGGCTGTGAGTTCGAAAAATTAACTAGTTATTATTTTTATTTGTATATCTGTTACTCCAAACAGCTTTCACGGTAAATTATCATCCCAGCTTACAAATGGAGAATGAACGTTGTTTGTACAACTACTTCCTACTTTCAAGTTTAAATTTATTAGGTTTTAAGTTTATGCTGATATCCTTCTGTTTTATATGATATGGGAGAAGCTCACTATTTCATTTTTCTTATTTATCTTGCATACATGTCAAGCCATCTTATTTGTCTTCTTTCTAAATTAAACCTCTCCAGTGTTTTCAGTCTTTACTGGGACTCTAATGATCATATCTCTTCTTTCTAAATTGAGTCTATTTCTGCTGTAGCCTTTTTTTAAGAGTTAGGGTGCTCAAAACTAAGCATAACATTCCAGCTGAAGGTCTCCCAGCAGCATAAATGATGGTATTGTTGTATTTCCTGTATGATTTTCCAAGTCATCACTTGCAGCTCCGAATTTTATGCTTTAATTGTAATTGTGCATTGAGGTAGACATCTTCATTGTTTTAAAGTTATAATCTTTTAATGCAAGTCTCCTGTTGCATAAAAAACTGAGTATTTCTGAGAATGAGGAGGATCAAATTTCTCTACTGTCTACATGGCAATTTGTATAGACTGGGAGCCAGAGCAAATCTAAAATCTCACCTGTAACGTCTGAGTTGGACCTAATTAATTCAGCATGTGGGCAGAATGCATGATTTGCTGTCACCACACCTTTCTTGACTCTGTTCTCTTTCTGGGCCTTTCAAAAAAGGACTGGGCAGAATTCTATTTATAGAGCCAAATAAATCAAAACCTGCCTGTGTCATACATGATACCTCCAGCTTTTCAGATGAGGCCCCACGAAGTGCCAAATGCCCTTGGTAGCATGTCCTACTTCTGCCAATCCCAGAAAAAAAAAAAAAAAAAAAAAGTGGGACTTGTAAAGTCTGGGACCACACAAGATGAAAGAAATAGCTTTGTACTAACATAAATGTGAAATTATTCCAGCGTGTAGGATGGAAAGAGCTGAAGTTCCTGATTTTTAAGGACATCGTACCATTATGTGAATTTGATTAACTGTCTAGTCTGCCACTTAGCAATGGAAAATATTCTGGAAGTAACTGGAAGTGACTTAGTTCCTGTTCTGACTTCAGAGTTGGATTCTGACAGCGATCAGATGCCCCCCCCAGTATCATGTGCATAACAACAAGGGAAAGAGGAAAGGATGCATGAGACTGAAGAACAAGGCAATGTCAGGAGGAGAAAATTAAGTAATCTGGGCATTAATCCACTCATGCAAAGACACGAGGCTGAATGAAGAGATTTGAGTGTGTAGAAGTTTTTGCAGGATCAAGGAGCAGGAAAGATGCAAGGTTAAAAGTGGGGAAATGGAAACCTGCGTAGGATAAGTATATGATTGATTAAAAAACACCATCCAGACAGGACCTGTGGTGATGGCCATACAGCAGCAGCAACCCTGGAATGATTCTTTCGCCCTTAAGAAGCTGAAGTGTCAGCAAGGAGAGTGGAAGCTCTTGCTCTGTTTGGTCTTGCAAAAGAGTAGACCAAAGGGAAGAATAGAAGGGAGTGCGCAGGCAGCGTTTTCTGCTGGAGAAGATGCTGTTGATTTATAGTGAGATCATGGGCAAATCACTTCACCAGTCTGTTTTTCCACTGCAGCTGAGCTGTTTCTTGCTACATGCATGGACAAGTGTAATAGTGCTACTACAGTGCTAAAAATAATAAACCCCAAATATGTGTCACTTCCATTAAAACTGGAAGAGCACCACAAGGAATTGGATCTCAGGTCTCCAGTTCTCATTATCTGCACACAATAATCCTTCCTCATGAAAATGCCACGGGGTTATAAAGCAGATGGTCACAAAAAAATCTTTTCCACATATTTTTCTTTGTACAAAATGCTTCGGGACAAACCAAAAGCTGAGACAGCTGTTGCAACTCTGGGAATTTCAGCAGAGCTGCTCTGACTTACACCACGTTTCAGTTTAGCCCCAGTGTGATACTCCTGGGAGGTCAAACTTACAGGAGATTTCTGAAGATGTGGTCTGAGGGCTCGTCCACATGGGGCAGGCAGGGATCCTGAGCTAGATAATTTATATCAACTCCCAGAACTAGAAGCAGAACAGACACTGCACTACGCTGGTCTTCAGCTTCCACCTCCACGTGGCCCCTGCCACGTGCTTGAGGTTCTCCACACTGTGCTCCATGGACAAGAGGGTTGTGCTGAGGAAAGCAAGATTGGTCCAATTTGCTAGAACTGGCTATTAAAATTGCAGCATTTTTCCAAAGCAGTTGATAAAAAACTGCATCTGCAAGCTCCATTCCCTGGTGTTGCCCAGGCTTGGCCGCTCCTGCTGACCAGCCTGCTGGGGCTTGGATGCAGTCCCATGCTCAGCCCTGCCCCATAAAGGGGAGTTACTCCTTGGGCAGCACGTTCTTGATTAGCACCTTCCAGGATAGCACGTGTCAGGGAAACAGCTACAGAGCCCTTCTCCCATCCAGTGCATCCAGCTCTGGGTTTGGCATGCCCATCATCACCTCAGTGTTGTTGAAAGTAATTGGAGATTAGACAGCTACACACCCTTGGAACTGTGAGACCTACTGAAGTGACTGCACACCTCTGTGCCCTTTGAATGCTTTGAACCATATTCTGGTAACACGAGGGGGCTCAGAGCTGGGAGGTAAGTCCATCAGAAATATCGTACAGACTCCAGTGTTCTGGTTCCCATAGGGATGTGTGAAGACAGTGGTAAACTGGCAGAGTTACAAAAGTGGGTCAACTCACCTGTTAGGTATTCTAGGTCAGGTAGTAAGAAGCAAATAAGCTCTTTAGATCGCCTAAATTACAAGTGGGTAAACTTCATGTACTGGCATTTATCCCTGACTACTTTGCTAAAGGAATGTGCTCCAAAATGGCTTGTACTGAAGAGGACACAGTCAAGTGCTTTTGGTGGAGGAAACTAAGTCAGCAGCCCCCAAACGGTCTAGTGTTAATGGATCTAATGCTTCCCCTCCCCTACCTGGTGCAGTCACTTTTTTTTCTAGGGATAAAGCTTAAGAAAGAATCAGCCAAGCCCTTGTGTAGCTTGTGGTTTGGCTCCCTGCCCGCTCTGCCCTTCAAGCAGGAAATTCTCAAAGGGAAGGGAGTGCTTTGTGAAGCTACCTTAAGACTCTGCCTCTTCTCTTTTAGTCAGAATTTAGCATCAGGTCATCTGGAACTCCTGGAAGCTGACCAGACAGACTGATGGCGCCTACAGAAGGTATTTAAGCAACTTCTCTACCTTGATCATTTTCCCTCATCTTTTGTCCTTTACGTCCTTGATTGCTGTTATTCAGTGCTGAGATAATACACTCCTGATATCACTGAGATGGGAGAGACAAGCAAGGAGGAAGAGATCAAAGGAAGGAGAAGAAAGAGGGAAGATGCCAAATACTTCCTTAATTTACCTACTTTACATACTCGGTACACAGAGTTTCAGAAATTCTTAATATACTTAATTTTCAGAGTTCTGGGGTTACCACGTAGTCACCAGACAACAGGAGACTGTCAGCAGGGGCCACGGGCATCCTCTTTCCACCAGCTGAGGAAGTAGCTTGAAAGCTCGATGCAGAAAGCCCAGGAGGCCCTTGGCACCTGTGAGCGTTGGCTGAACTTGAAAAGAAACCCGGCAGAGTGCAGTCTGGGAAACCAGCATGGTTTTAAAATATCTTTCTGCTTCCCTCTGCTGGCCAGATAACAGATGTAGCAATGTAATTCCTACAAATCGGGGAAGGATCCGGGTGAAGAATAGCAGAGGATGGGAAAGGTCATCTTGTGCTGTCATTACACAAGCGTTAACTCCACTGATTTCTTTGAATTTGCTCCCGAATTCCAGAGGAAATGCAACATACGTGTATGTGTCCTGGAGAGCTCAAGACGACTGGAAATGGGACCAGGGCCAAGGCTGGGTGGGTGAGAGGTGGGGAGATGGTACAGACAAGGGTGCTACATTGTAGAATAATTTCAAGGTTTCAACCAATAATATCACATTACCGTTTTTCTCATCCTGCTATCAGTTGTGATTACAAAGTTAACTTAACACCCTTGATCTAAACTTAGTTGCTATTCTTGTTACAAAACAGGATCATTATGAGTTGAAAAAAAAAAAAAATCAAAACAAAGACATAAACTTCAAACATTTTTGTTACTGAAACCTCTTTGATTGAAAATTAAATCTTTTTTTTTTTTTTTTTCCTGGGTTTGCGATTACTTTCCTATGGTGCTTATAAAGACTGGAGGAAGTCTTGAAGCCTATAAGGAACAGCCAATGATAACAAAATTCTGAATATGGAGATACAGGAAACATGTAAAGACCATGCCAGCGTTCATTTTAAATAGGATGTGTAAGTTAAAGGCAAATCTAAGATTAATGCGGTATGTATGTCAAGAAATTAGCAGTCATTTCTGCATTTAATTTCCCTGTTTTCTTGAAGAAGCAAAGGGAAAAAAAGCATCTTGGAAGTACTACTGTTGATGAATGGGCTTTAAGGGTGACTCAGTGCTGTTAAATTGCTTGTGCAGACCGTCCTCATTTACTGAGTCAGGCATGTAAGTGTTTCTGACCAAGAACAGTGCAGGTCTTAAGATGAGCTCTGCAATTAGAGGGAAGGTTAGTGCAGGGAAGAGGTCTGAGTAATTGCTAGGGACAGGGCTTTTACAGGGGTGGTGTATAGGACAAGGGGCTGGGCAGTGCTGCGAGGGAGCAAACAGCAAACTTTCCACTGTCTTCAAGGCATTGTAACAGGGTTGTGATTCGATAGCATTTCACGTTCCCTTGTGCTGGTTTGCCACCAAGGAGAGCAATGTTGGACCTGAAACACCTCTAACTGGCTGTGGATATAAATTATTTCAGGTGCCACTTCCTCTCGGTTTGTTTCATTAACAAATCCTTGCTGCGCTCTGAAAGAAAAACCTTCGCATGGTTGGGGTTTTCCTTCCTCAGATGAAAAATGATTGTCCCAAGTGCTGTTCCTGTTTGCTACATGGTACCGAGCGGAGCTTTTCTGCTTGAGGTACCTCGTGCTCCAGAGCACCCCTGAGTGTCTGCGGAGAGGCAGGTCGCGTTACAGCGCACGTCCAATGAAACGACGCTGCGGAGCACCTCCATTTTGTTCCTAAAACAAATCAGTCTGAACTACTAACGTGCAGCAGAGAGAGGCTGGAGGGACTGGGTTGGGTTTCTACCGCGATGTAACGGGTCAGCCATAACTGTTCTCTGCGCTCAACGACTGCCTGCGGCCCTGCGCGCACGGGGCGATGGTTCCGGGGGTGAGAGGGGAGGCGGGAGGTAACCGCTGCCGCCGCTCAGCACCTCCCCGCGGGCAGGCGGCCTGAGCACGGG